AGTCCATTAAAGCTGGTTAACAACTTCCTGGCTATGGAGAAATGTGATCGCAGGGATTCTTACTCCCTCAGTCCACCTCCGTCTTGCTGCTGCAAGTTTCCTTACTCCTATGGTGCTGAGTGAGGCTGGCACACCCACAGATGGCACTCCAGCTGAACAAGACTCGACTCACTTCCCGGTAGTACTTGCTAACCTCTTGCAGAAGGAATTTGGAGGTCCCCCTGCCTCCCCACGACATTCTCGATCACTCAATAGAGGTCAGCAAGCATCTATATAAATATATTAAAATAAATAAATAATATATATATATATATATATATATATATATATATATATATATATATATATATATATATATATATATATATATATATATATATATATATATATATAAATATTAAACACCGTTTAGACTTTAAATCCAAGATGCAGAACATTAATAAATAAGGAATTACAAGGAGCCACTGACTTACTGAAAGATAAATCTAAACAGACACAAGTAAATGTGGAAATTATTACTAGTATGTAATACAGTATTCTCTGACAAAGTAAATAACAAATCTAATGTTTACATAGATTTTTATCCAAGGATCCCAAAGTGATGCTCTGTATCTATGGACTGCAGAGCATTACATTTAAGGATTATGAAGAAAAAGACCTCAGGATTTCAAAACTCTGCACCTTAGATTTATAAAACCACTCAAGTATTATGAAGTTTTTTCTTAAATGTAATTCCTATGGATAATGAAGCACACAGCACATGAATAAGAAGCATTGCACCTATGGAATATGAAGCACAGCATACATGGATTATATAGCACTATTGAAGAGTTTGCACTGAGGATCACAGCACAGCACATGAGAATGTCAAGCCAATGCATATTACTGTATCCAGTTGATAGAAACCTAAAAAGTTGAAATTGCTGCACTTAAAAGTTGGTAAAAGCACTTGCTGAAAATGAAGTAAATTCTGCTTCTCACAAATTCAAAATGATCAAATATATTGCACTTGAAAGGAATATTGAAACATGCACGCATGGAATCACAGGGACCCGTATTAGAGAATAAAGAAATGCTGACCATTTGATAAGTAGATGAACACAAGGAACTGTATCTATTTGTAAAAAATCATTTACATTCCTTAATATTTGACAATGTTCTCCTAATAATGCACTTTGCTCTTGTGTAATACTAGGTAAACTATTAGGTTAATGTTGTTATAAATTGCATTTTCTGTAGCTGGCATTTATACCAAAGAAACTAGTTTCCTATTTCTCACTAATTGATTCATGAATTCATGCATTATTCATTAACCTCCATTAGACTGGCCCAAGCTTATAAGGTTAAAAACAAATTTTGTGCTCGCCAAATGTCTCACCCTTGGCATTTGTGAGGCTTGCTATAAAAACAATGTGTCATTTTTGAGCTTGATTTAGATATACTGTATTTACTTGTGCTGCCAGACAAATTATGTGATCAAGAAGTATATCCAAGACACCCACGAGGTAACAATTAAAAGCGACTAAAGAAGTTATATTGGTAAAAATGCACACTAACGCTGTGATACAATTATCCTGGCAGTTGTTGAATGCTGATGCAATAACCTCTCACAGCAATGTCTGAACCACCACTAGATGCTTATGGGCTAGTACAGATTTTTTTTATTACTATACCTCTTAAGTTCTAGTGGTGAGATTTCAGCTTAAAAAAAAAATGGGGGTTGGGGGGGCCAGTCTATGCTTCTACCCAACTCATCTGTAGTCTTTGGCACAAACTCCATGTTATTTCTATATTAACAAAACGTTTAATTTAAAAAATAATTATGTATTAGCTTTTGAGTGAATTGGGTATAAATATTACTATGCATTCTGTGTTAGAAAAATGCCTTGCTTGTACTAGTAATGCAAATAATTTTTAAGGGAGGAGCCACTGGTGGGTCCCTGAAACTATCTCACCGAGATGGCTCCCCACTACTGGGTCACATCTTACACAGGAGTCATGTTTGGCATTCTGGAGACCAGACCAGAGCCTCACAGAGTCGCAAGGAGCCAGGGACTAGTATTATCACCCCTCACTGGGAAAGCATCTAAAATGTTGGTTAAACCTTATCGGCAATTAAAGGGTTCCTAGTAAATGAAGCATCGAATTAGTTGAACAACTCTACAAAAGATTCATTCAAACTATTGGTTCATTTAAAATTAGCTCATAGCTTCTTAGTACCGATTGCCGACACCTGGTAGCCCGGAGTTCCTGGCCAACAGCTGGGTCCCGGTCAGTCCTGTCGCTGATGTTGGCAGACTTAGTAGTGCTCCTTGGGATCGTCAAATTGCAGAGGGTCCCACTATTTCTCAGCTGATTGCCGGCTATTCTTTTGACTTTGTCCTGCAGGGGCCATTTGTTTGTTGTCATTTTACTCTTCTTTTTTTAATAATTACTTTACCCACGTGTTTTTTTTGCAGGGGTAATGTCGTGTGTAATTGGCAATTTTACACTTTGAGCTACATATACTCAGGGTGACCCTTTTCTGGGTGCTCGTTTAGCAATACCCCTGAAGTTATTTGTAAAACTTTGTTGACTTTCTGGATGTTTTTCCTGTGGGGGTTATAATAATAGTCCCCTGCTCCTTGCAACTCTGTGAGAAGGCCATGTTTTGGTTCTGGTTTTCGAGAGACCCAACAGAACTCCTGCAACTGAAGTGACCCAGTAATGTTGTGCTATCTCAGCAAGTTAGTTTCTGGGAGTCACTGCTGGCTCTACCAGAAAGAGGAGTTTCATTACATTCAACACTGGTTTTCTGTGGAAAGTCCCTCCGGCTCCCCGGAACTTACCGGGCTGATATGTATTAGACCGTAGCATCAATCAATTCGACTGGAGTTCTTGCCTACCGGGGACCATGAGCCAGAACCTGGCCCCCCCTTCAGAGAGGCAGGAGGAGCAATGGCCTATAGAAACCCCCCATGCGGTTGGAAGCATTCCATGTCTGCCATCGACCGGGTTAGGCACCCAGAAAAGGAGGCGTCCCAAAACAAACACCACCTGGTTAAAAAATTGCTACCGAAAGCCGAACTATCAAGCAGAACTCCCCAATCCAAAAACAAGCAAACAAGCATGACGTCACAACCGGCGTTGCACCGCTGTCTGCACAGTTCCTCCCCTTTCTGAGAGGAGGAAGGGGGAGCCCCAGATCCCGTATCGGCCATCCAACCCCCAGTTCTGAGGCTTATGTGTCGAGTAGCAGTCATTCGATTCTGGCTCCTGTCTCTGTTCAGTGATGTGGCTTTGTGGTGGTGTTCTGCTGTGTGGTAGTATGAGAACCAGGAGTAATTCACAGAGTACTTGGGCTGCATGTGCCTAGGGGCCTAAATGCCCTGTAAGTACTGCCCTTGTGGCTTGGGGTTATCTTCCACAAGTCTTTCGGAGACTACCTCGTAGGGATCTTTTGCTGCTCGGTGATTGCCCGCCCTTGGGGTCCACTGGGGTTTTCATAGCCGCTGTTTGACCTTAGGTACACGATAGTATCATCACTGGTAGGGGGGTTATCTTGAGATGATTTGCACCTCGGGGTGCAAGGCACTGTGCAGCTTGTCAACCATTATCATAGCAGCCGGTTCTGTTCCTGCTGGAGATGTTGTGCTTTTGCAAGGTTTTTCTTTTTCTTTTTGTTCGTTGCCTTTCTGCCCCTTGGTCATTGTCCACCCTCTGTAATTCTGGTGGTTCCCCGCTAGGTCTCCGTGACTGTACACATCGCAGGAGTTCGGCTTTAATTGTTCTCTCAATAGTTTGGGCCAACCTGTAAGCAGTACTTTGCATGGGCTTCCCTTAGCAGTCAGCCTAAGGGCCTTGGAAAACCCCATTGGAGCTCATTGGTCTGAGGGATGCGTCCTCTGGGTCCCATCTTGCCTTGTGCGAGTTCAAAGGTTGCTCTGTCCTCTTATCTCAGGGTGACATTCACTGTTTTTGCTTCTGTCATGCTGCCTGTTAGGTCGTTGACACCTGTGGCCTGGAGTTCTGCGAGTGGTGTTCCTTGCTGATGCTCCAATTATCCCAGTTCGCTGATAATGGTGGTCGGGTGCAGGTGGCTTCGACATTGCACACTTCTGATTTCCCTTCTTCCCTGTTCTAGGGCTCGGGTCTTCCATGTCGTTCATAGAGTTATTCGTTCCAGCCAGCCTGAGGTCTATCCTCGTGCCCATGATGTTCATAAATTTGCTGTTTTAGCTTTCATTCGGGCACGAGGATTTTGGAGGTTGAACAGGGTCCTGGCCGCCCATTACCTTGTTAATGTTCCTGACCTAGTCGGGTGTTTGTCGCTTTGGGTCGCAGGTTGCAGACAGTTATCTTTACTTCGAGTTGAGGTGTGAGTGGTGGCCGCCTCCTGGGTAAGTCCCTCTTTTACTTCTCTGTGGTTAGATAGCTCCAGGGAGCTGGAGGGGGCTCTCCACAGAAAACCAGTGTTGAATGTAATGAAACGCCATTTTCTGGGTGAGTCCCGGAGGTTCCCCGGCAACCCTCCCTCCCTCCAGTTGGCAGTATTCGCATTTTGATATTCAGCCTCCGAACTGGGGTTGGATGGCTTCCCCTTTATTCTCCCAGGGAGGGGGAACCTGCGCAGACAGCAGCATGGCAACATGCTTGTTTGCTTGTTTTCAGTTGGAGTTTTGCTTGATAGTTCAGCTTTCGGTAGCAATTTTTTAACCAGGGGGTGTTTGTTTTGGGGCGCCAAAACAAACCCTTTCCTAACCCTAACCGCTAACCAGGTCGATGGCAGATATGGAATGCTTCCAACCACATGGAGGATTCTATAGGCCATTGCTCCTCGTGCCTCTCTGAAGGGGGGGCCAAGATCTGGCTCGTGGTTCCCGGTAGGCAAGAACTCCAATAGAATTAACTGATGCCACAGTCTAATACATACTTATCAGCCTGGTAAGCTCCGGGGACCCTCAAGGACTCACTCAGAAAATGGCATTGCATTACATTCAACGCTGGTTTTTTTCCCTTAGATGAGGATGACGACCAGCCGCGGGTGCTTCAATTAACAAATCAGCACAAAGCGGCTATCAGAGCCGTAAGAAAGGTCAGTTTATTTCTCTTGCATATACTTGTATGTAAACAAAGTCAAGTGCATCTTATCCAGATGCGGTGTAACTAAGATGGTCTGAAAAATTGGCACCTGTTACAAATATCTCAAAGAAAAAATTGTATGGTGTATACCAAAATACTGTAAAACAAATTGCTCCACTTATGGAGCAATTTATGGTGTATTTGGTGAGGATGAGGCATTTACAGTGGAGTTACATGAACTAGGCAGTGGTGGCAGGAAGGCAGGCAGGATTATGGTGATGGAAGGCGGGTAGAGTCATGGTTGTGGTGTCAGGCAGCATCATGGTGGTGTCGGGTAGGGTCATGGTGGTCATTGTGCAAGGTAAGATCATGATTGTGGCAGGCATACAGGGTTATGGTGGGGGTTAGCAGGTAGGCAGAGTGGTGGTGGTGGCATTAGGTAGTGTCATGGTTGTGCTGTCAGATAGGGTCATGGTGGTGGCGTGTCAGGTAGGGTCATGGTGGTGGTGTGTCAGGTAGGGTCATGGTGGTGGTGTGTCAGGTAGGGTCATGGTTATGGTGTGTCAGGTAGGGTCATGGTGGTGGCGTGTCAGGTAGGGTCATGGTGGTGGTGTGTCAGGTAGGGTCATGGTGGTGGTGTGTCAGGTAGGGTCATGGTGGTGGTGTGTCAGATAGGGTCATGGTTGTGGTGTGTCAGGTAGGGTCATGGTGGTGGCGTGTCAGGTAGGGTCATGGTTGTGGTGTGTCAGGTAGGGTCACGGTGGTGGTGTGTCAGGTAGGGTCATGGTGGTGGTGTGTCAGGTAGGGTCATGGTTGTGGTGTGTCAGATAGGGTCATGGTTGTGGTGTGTCAGGTAGGGTCATGGTGGTGGTGTGTCAGGTAGGGTCATGGTTGTGGTGTGTCAGGTAGGGTCACGGTTGTGGTGTGTCAGGTAGGGTCATGGTGGTGGTGTGTCAGGTAGGGTCATGGTGGTGGTGTGTCAGGTAGGGTCACGGTGGTGGTGTGTCAGGTAGGGTCACGGTTGTGGTGTGTCAGGTAGGGTCATGGTGGTGGTGTGTCAGGTAGGGTCATGGTGGTGGTGGTGTCAGGTAGGGTCATGGTGGTGGTGTGTCAGGTAGGGTCACGGTTGTGGTGTGTCAGGTAGGGTCACGGTTGTGGTGTGTCAGGTAGGGTCACGGTTGTGGTGTGTCAGGTAGGGTCACGGTTGTGGTGTGTCAGGTAGGGTCACGGTTGTGGTGTGTCAGGTAGGGTCATGGTGGTGGTGTGTCAGGTAGGGTCATGGTGGTGGTGGTGTCAGGTAGGGTCATGGTGGTGGTGTGTCAGGTAGGGTCACGGTTGTGGTGTGTCAGGTAGGGTCACGGTTGTGGTGTGTCAGGTAGGGTCACGGTGGTGGTGTGTCAGGTAGGGTCATGGTGGTGGTGTGTCAGGTAGGGTCATGGTGGTGGTGGTGTCAGGTAGGGTCATGGTGGTGGTGTGTCAGGTAGGGTCATGGTGGTGGTGTGTCAGGTAGGGTCACGGTGGTGGTGTGTCAGGTAGGGTCATGGTGGTGGTGTGTCAGGTAGGGTCACGGTGGTGGTGTGTCAGGTAGGGTCATGGTTGTGGTGTGTCAGGTAGGGTCACGGTGGTGGTGTGTCAGGTAGGGTCATGGTGGTGGTGTGTCAGGTAGGGTCACGGTGGTGGTGTGTCAGGTAGGGTCATGGTGGTGGTGTGTCAGGTAGGGTCACGGTGGTGGTGTGTCAGGTAGGGTCATGGTGGTGGTGTGTCAGGTAGGGTATGGTTGTGGTGTGTCAGGTAGGGTTATGGTTGTGGTGTGTCAGGTAGGGTCACGGTGGTGGTGTGTCAGGTAGGGTCATGGTGGTGGTGTGTCAGGTAGGGTCACGGTGGTGGTGTGTCAGGTAGGGTCATGGTGGTGGTGTGTCAGGTAGGGTCACGGTGGTGGTGTGTCAGGTAGGGTCATGGTGGTGGTGTGTCAGGTAGGGTTATGGTTGTGGTGTGTCAGGTAGGGTCATGGTGGTGGTGTGTCAGGTAGGGTTATGGTTGTGGTGTGTCAGGCGCAACCCATTCTCGCACTTGCTTACAGTCAATATTGGCTTATTTAATAAGTGCATATGTGACATACTAATTGATAAGCATCTTATTGCTTCGTAATTACAATTATTACTTAACCTATACCTATAATAGGTTAAGTAATAATTGTAATTACGAAGCAATAAGATGCTTATCTTAACATACTAAGAAGGTTAGGTAAGGTCGGTGTTTTCTATGAAGCTTTTCAAGGTAAACTAAAATAGTCACAAAAAATTAGTATGTCACATATGCACGTATTTAATAAGTCAATATTGACTATACGAAAGTGCGAGAATGGGTTGGTCAGGCAGGGTCACGGCGGTGGTGTGTCAGGCAGGGTCACGGTGGTGTTGTGTCAGGTAGGGTCACGGTGGTGGTTTGTCAGGTAGGGTCATGGTGGTGTTGTGTCAGGTAGGGTCACGGTGGTGGTTTGTCAGGTAGGGTCATGGTGGTGTTGTGTCAGGTAGGGTCATGGTGGTGTTGTGTCGGGTAGGGTCATGGTGGTGTTGTGTCTGGTAGGGTCATAATGATCGTGTTAGGAAGGTTCATGGTCGTGAAGATCTCAGGCATGGCAGATTGATGGGGTGGCAGATTGTTGGAGTGGCAGATTGATGGGGTTATGGTAGCAGTTTGCAGGTAAGCAGGGTTATGGTGGTGTTAGGCATGGTCATGGTAGTAATTGTGTCAGGTAGGGGTTATGGTGGTGATTTCAGGTAGGATCATGGTGGTGGCCAGCAAGCAGGGTTGTAGTGGTGGTTGGTAGGCAGGCAGAGTCATGGTGGTGGTGGTTGTGGTTTCAGGCAGGGCACGGTGATATCAGGCAGGGTCAAGGTGGTGGTGGCAGGCATAGGTCATGATGGTAATGGGTGGCAGGAAGGACACAGTGGTGGTGGTGGGTGGCAGGTAAGATCACTGTGGTAGAAGGAAGAGGTCATAATAATGGTGACAGGATTGCAGGGTCATGATGGTGGTGACACTTGTGGCTGGATTAAATATGCTCAACTTAATAGACTTGGCTCTTGACAAAACTGAGTAGCAAATAGGATTATTTGTTGATCTCCTAAAGTTCTTTGACTCAATTATCAATAACAACCTCCTCAAACTACATCACTATAGAGTTGAGGTCAGTCATTTCATTGCATCACATTGGGAGTATCAGTATGTTTCTGTGAACAATGCTTTTTCTCACATTTTAAATTAATAATGACATTCTAAAGGGTAGTATACTTGGTCCACTCCTCTTTCTCTTATACATCAGTGACCTTCTAAATTACATTCAACAACCCCTTAAGCCAATAACATTTTCTGATGGCACAAACTTTATATTCTCAAGCCGTTTGGTTTTCCATTACATGTTGGCTCCCTTTTCAGCCTTTTTCTATGGGGAGCTCTGTCGGCTCCCTGAAGCTATCCAAACTGACATGTGCCATATTAGTTTGGTGTCATCAGTCTCGGGAATTCTAGTGCCTACCGGGGATTACGAGCCAGAATCTGGCCCCCTCAGAGAGGTGCAGAGATCAATGGCCATACAAGCACTATATTTAGAGTGTCATTTCTGATCATCAACCGGGGTATACCGGGACTGTATAATTACCCAAAGCTACCCAAACTTACTCAAAGCTTTACAAAGCTTCCTAGCATTATGTTAGTAATGAATAAATATGATATATTTATTCATTAAAATGTTGGTGCTGAATGTAGAACATGAAAAACATATTTTTACTCTGAAAAAGTATGATTTTATAATGAAATTAGACAAAAATAAGAAGCTGGTGACGCCAAAGCAAGTCGAAGGTCCAAGCAACAATGTTTGCTGGCATATGAGCCTCCTGTACCTACCTACCTACCTAACCTAACCAACCTACCCAAACATAACCTAACCTAACCTACCCTTCCCTACCCTACCCTACCCTACCCTACCCTACCCTACCCTACCCTACCCTACCCTAACTTAATATAAGCTCTAGGCAACCATATATCTTGAATAATTTGTTCATCTTTGATAAGTCGCTCCACAACATTATCACTTGGATTATCGACTTCCTATGGCCTCTTATGCCACTTAGTTTTATCTAATTTCGTTATTAATTTTATATTATTTCAGAGTAAAAATATGTTTTTTCATGTTCTACATTCAACACCAACAATATAGTGAGTAAATATATCATATTTCTTCATTACTTACATAATGCTAGGAAGCTTTGGATAGTTTGGAGTAAATTTGAGTAGCTCTGGGTAATTAGACAGGCTGGGGTATACCTTTGGAAAGGTAGGCATAACAATACAAATGTACAACTGGTAAAAAGTGTAACCTACAATCAAACAGAGCCAAAGAACTCCTCCCAAAAGAAAACAATGAAACAAGCAATTCGTCATCCAACTAGCATGCCTGCTTATTTGTGGCCCCCCGGGGGAGGCTGCTCAGGCAGCCGGCCGCTCCACCCCTTAGTTTATTAACTGATGTGCTTTGTGTCAACAAATCTCCTCTGGCCTCGCTTTATTAACTGGCTTTTGTGTTTGTGGCTTTGCCAGCTTTGTGTGGTGTGGTGGCCAGGTGTCCAGGTGCCAGGCCGAACCCTACAGATGGGCTGTGGGGTTCGTTCGTGGGGGAGGGAACGGACGTGTCGTCGTCGTGCTCCATGAAAACGCTCGAATAAACCTTTTTTTTTTTTTTTTTTTAGGATTACAACCATGGATTACGGCTTATAGTGATCACGAAGTGCATAGTGACCCGTAGGAAAGTTGAATACAGAAATTAACAATGGAACTTTGAGTTCCATTGGAACTCAAAGAGAATAATACAGAATAAACATGGGACCACATGGTGAGCCAGTGCCACCAGACTCATGTGTACAGGCATATAGGCGATATATATTATATATAGCGAGCAGTGATACGTTGAACAGTGAATGGAACATATAACACAACACATAAATTAGTGGATAG